ACATACATACATACATACAGACAGGGTAACTGCAAAGACTCCCTTTTGTGCTTCGCACACGGAAGTCAAAAATAATGCAGTTAATAAATTTGATAATTAAAATTGAAGGGTAAAAGAAAATAAATTTTGATGTAGCTTCTTTTTTTCAAGCAAATATTGTTAAGTGGATAATATAACGCTGTTGATTATTTTAAGATATATAGCTACTAGGTAGGCAGTATTTAGTGTTCATTAGTAATGTTTTTCATTGTTTCTGATTTAATCCTGTCAAATTCATTTTTTCAGTGATACCGGTACATACTTTTACAGTAGATTGGATTCAGTGATTGTGTTCAGTGATGCTATTGTTCACACCATGTTTGATTGACAAGCACGTGGAATCAATTTGAAAAAACATACCGGTAATATAAAACATTGGTAAAAAAATGTGATTAAAATTTCAATGCAGAAATGTCTGAAGAAGTGAGTGAGGTCTGAAACAGTGTATGACTTTTGCATTCTCCAAACTTTTTTTTTGCAGAATATGAGAAAAGTTAGAATCATAAAAAAAAGGTCAGTCAAATACCTGAGTTCGCCTGATAGTGATTATCGGTATGTCTACTGTTAAGCATGGTGGTTTTATCATGATTGGCCATTGACATTGCAGTCTTCTCCCATGTCCTATCAAGCATGGTGAGTTTTACTTTCAAGAAAACAATAGATGTCATTGATATGTATTATACAAAATAAATATACAAAACTGGAAAAACACCGCTTATAATAATCATTAACTATTATGTATCTGTTGGTCTTGGATCTTCTTCTTGAAACGAAGTTGATGCAGCAGCTGGTGGTCTGGGTGGTGGTCTAGATGGAGGCTTTGTAGTTATTGTTCTTTTTCTGGTTTCCACACCAACAGGTTTCCAGTATTCACCAGCAAAAGCTGCTTTGAAGTAGATGAGACTGGCAATAAATAAACACATGCCACCAAGGAGTGTAGGCAGAAGAAATGCACATGGAACACAAGCTCTGTGGAGATGAGATAAAAGTTCAGTCATAGTGACAGATTTAATTTTTTAAGAGTGATTCAGCCAGTGAATTATGAAAGTTTCTTGGTCATCTTTTTACAGTTTCTGGAACTAATAAAAATATCATAATAAATAAAGCCTAGGGGGGGGGGGGGGGTTGAGGGAAATAAAGACTTGAAATAAATATAGCTCTGCAGTGTGAGAGTCACAATTGTCAATGCAATTGTATCTTGTTTCATTGAAATGTGATAAAGTATTGTATTACTGGAATAATTATTATGCAAATTATGTAATTAATATGCACAGACTTCCAAGTTGAAATTTCAATGTGAATTTAAATCTTCAGTATTGACAATTTAAATCAAAGTGAATTTTTATCAGATATAACTGATGTTAACATATGACATGAAGTAACAAGCAGTCTCTCGGCTGAGATAGCTCCGCTGTTAGCAATGCACATTTCAATTAAAGAACAGAAGATATCATTAGAAAATGAACAATATGTATAGTATCAAGCAATGGGACTTGCTGGTTTCAACAAGAATTCAAAAATATCACTTTTTACGAAAAATTACAAAAATATTCACCAAAATTAGAGAATTAAAAATATCATTACAAAATGAACAAATCTGAGAGAGGTCCACATGTAGTACCTATAAATGTAATATAAATGCAATCGGACTTGCGGTTTTTAACAAGAAGTTGAAAATATCACTTTTTATCAAAAATGACAAAAATATTCACCAAAATTAGAGAATTAAAGATATCATTAGAAAATGAACAAATCTGAGAGAGGTCCACATGTAGTACCTGTATATGTATTATCAGAGCAATTGGACTTGCGGTTTTTAACCAGAAGTCAAAAATATCACTTTTCACCAAAAATTACAAAAATATTCACCAAAATTAGAGAATTAAAGATATCATTACAAAATGAACAAATCTAAGAGAGGTCCACATGTAGTACCTATATATGTATTATCAAAGCAATTGCACTTGCAGTTTTTAACAAGAAGTCGAAAATATCACTTTTTACCAAAAATTACAAAAATATTCACCAAAATTAGAGAATTGAAGATACATGTATCAACATGAAACGAACAAACCTAATAGAGGTCTACCCAATGTACATATACACCAAGTATCAAAGCATTCAGGCTTGTATTTTTCAAGAAGAAGTCGAAAAAGTAAAACATTGACACGGACGATAACGACGGACAATCACTCATATGATGGGCTCCGCTCGACAAAGTCGACAGCGGAGCTAAAAATGTCAATAATGATCAATTTTGATGCGAGTACAGTTTCCAGGTTTTGGTGAAATGAGAATATATTTATTTATATAACTATTTTTTGTAATATCTATCCACGGTTTGAAGTTCCTTTAGAAGTTTCTTCTAAATTAAAATTCAGAATAAGTTTTGATAAGATGAACCGTACAAAATTCCAAGCATTATGATGCTTATAGGGTTCAGTAAGAAGTTTTCTACAATTCATACAAAGTAGGAATGTAATTTTAATAAAGAAATTATAGAAAAATACATAAAAATTTGCAAAATGTTGCACCAAAAAAATGATGTCATTCAAATACTGTGGAATACTTTATTTTCGTTGGAATTAATTTTCGCTGAAAAGGCTTTTTGGGTGTTTTGTAAGGAATTTATTTTCACTGATTTTTGATGAGTTTAATGTGAAATATAGGAAAAAAGATATATTCGCTGGATTTTATTTTCACGAAAACATCCCTTCAGCGAAAATAGCGAAAATAAATTCCAAGTGAAAATAAAGTTAGAATACTACTGTAGAATCAGTAGTTAAGATGTGTAACACAACCTTTGTATTCATCCCAACATGTAGATACCGGTAATACTCACATCATGTAAGTTACAAATCGCACATAGTAATTCTGAGTTACAGTGCCACCAACAGTCATTACAGGATTCAAAATTCTCTGAAATCTAAAAACATATAAATATTCAGTTGATATAACTTGTCATACTTTTACTTTTACTTGTCATAGTTATCATCAATTTCAGCAAAAAATGAAGATTGGAACTTCTTTTTACTTACGTTCTTTCAATGGTGCTCCCTTTTACCCGTCGACTACGTGGATATTCTAAGATACATATTAGAAAACCAGCAATGCTGTTCAATGACTGATAAGGAACAATAATAATAAGCAGAAATTTGCAATGTTTTTAAACTTCTAGTACAATGCACAGTAATGCATGTGAGCTTAGAATCACTAATCTGGAAAGGGACCTCTACAAATACCACATACATGTATGCAAACAGAACATCGTATCACGGTTTGCAATTGCAGATAGTCTTTCAGAGACCTACAAATCATACTTGTGACATTTGTGTTGATAAACATTGATTTTCCTACAATCAAATGTACTCTTCTAATGGAAATCACAAGTACAAGTTTTGACCTGAGTGCAACATGCACTTATTACCGCCTGTGACTTCCAATCTTTCAATCACCAACTTAAGGATACATAGCGTACACACCAAACTCCCAGCCTGTGAATCCATTCACTCCAATGATACCACCAACACAAATTACTGCAAATGACAGAGAAAGTATAATCATAACCTGCATCCACTAAAACAAGAATTACACACAAAACTACATAAACACAACTGTAAACCACCTAAATTTCACTACAAGGATTTTTTGTGATTCAATGATTTTCTGGCATCCGTAAAAACAAAATTTTTCCAAAGCCACCGACTCTTGTAAGAGCACAGCAAAATGTTCACAGCAGTACAAAAGTTTATAATTTTCACTAATTCTCTTGGGAAACTTTGACTATACTACATAGCATTTTATTTACAATTGGGAAACAAACAGTTATATTTCATTTATTTACACTTCACAAAATACACCACTTGAATATTCACAATTGTTTCATTGTCTTTCAAAATTATGTTTACTTTTAGTTTTTTGATAAAAAGTAGAAGAACATTAGCGAAATTGCATTTTCTAATTTGAAAGTTTGTCATGAAATAGCTGGAAAATTCACTGATATGCAAATTACACCCCTTCATATCATAATTTTCACATGAAAATAAATATGTTTTACAATTTAACGCCAAACTGCAGTGACAATACTACTATTAGTAATTATAATAAAATTTGATGACAACACTACTTGTACTAAAGTGAATTTTATGAATGCATGAATGTTTGTTATGAAAAATTTATAAATATCGGTATTCATAAGAGATTTACCCTGGAATATCCTCATGGTTTTTTCCATTCTAAAGAATATACTTTCAATGATTATAGATGCCATTTAGTAATACCTATTGCCCAAAGTTATGCTTTCATGAAATGCATGGTAATACATTCACTTAGGTGCACAAGCAATCTTTTATAGAAATTTATGAAACAGTTAAGATCCTTCGGCTAATTTTTAAATCCAAAGAAGATGTTTTTATTGACTAGAAAATCCTTTTGGCATTGCCCATTACTCATGTGTTCCTTTTTCAACCATGACTGATTAACAACGAACATACTGTAAAACAAGTTGAAATAGCGACATGCAATTTTAGCGAATTGTGGTAAAATGACGTAATAGCAAAATGTTAATTTAGCAAATCTCTCGTCATTGTTGATTTCCTGTTTTCACAATACTTTTCTGCCACGTGCCAAAACAAATGGGCAATTATCACCTCCATAAAAACAAGGAAAAACTGTCAAGTGTAATTATGAAGCACCCTAGATTTTTATGTTCCAGATTACTGTATACAAATCCCCAAGCCTTGGCCATTTTAATTTATAATAAAGTCATTAGCGACATCTTGAATTAGCAAATCAGTTCTCTCGCTAAACAGACATGTTTTACAGTAGTTCACACATACATGTACAACATTTATATATTATAGTACAATGTACAAGTAGCAGGGTACTGGACATCTCAATTCAAAAAAATCTTGACCCGTTTTTCATTGGACAACTCAACATTACCCACTAGACATCTTGACCCACCTATTTCAGACAACCAGCTGTCTCGACTCGATCTTAATAACATTGCTCTTTTCTAAGTGCTCACAGACCACAGTGTTTGCTT